TTTTCACTTGCTTTCAGATGGAGCAGAATTTACTACACAGAGCTGTAGTTCACCAACAACCTACGCAAACAGCTTTCATAATCGCAGAATGATTTCTTCGATTTCATAATCGCGCGATTAAATCGTCTGAGATTATGAATGCGATTTTGCGTTGCTTGTCAGTGAACTACGGCTCTGTGGAGTAAATTCTGCTCCATCTGAAAGCAGGTGATGAAGATTTACGACTAATCACAGAACCAGCTTTACTGACAAGATGCGCATGACAATTGCATTCGAATAATCGTGCAGCCCTAACTCAGTCTCTAATCCAAAGACCTTAGATATCTGACAGGTGTTTTATATCCAGAAGGTCATAAAAGTAAGAAGATGTCTTTTAAAAGCTTTACAGACAAAAACTAAGATTACATTTCAGTGTTTGTATTTTATGAAATATTTGCACACTCACAAATATTATATTACAGACTCCATCCAATTCATCACTGAATATTTAATTAGTTGGTGGGTTTAATGCAACCTCACATTTAATGGGATGTCCTTGTTTTCTGTACATATAAATTAGAATCCAATCAGTTATAGAAAGCAGAAAGTCAAACTGACAGCTGAAATATTGTACCACAGCTTTGAAGTGGCAGCTTTGAGGAACACAGTAAACAACAGGGGCAGGCTACAAAGGATATAATCAATTGTGAAAATGTCTGACCAGAGCATCATGGAGGACAACAGTCAAGAAATCCAATATTGCTTTCCAAACAACAATTTGTCATGTTTCAGAGAAATCAAACATGAAGTGGAGTATGTCATTTTGTACATGTTCATTTTTTTATTATCAGTGTTTACTGTGTTTCTGAACCTGCTGGTGATCATCTCCATCTCTCACTTCAAGCAGCTCCACACTCCAACCAACCTGCTCATTCTCTCTCTGGCTGTGGCTGACCTGATCGTGGGACTGATTGTTATACCGTTAATGGGCATCACATTCATAGAATCATGCTGGTACTTTGGAGAGAAATTTTGTTCTCTTTTTTTATTTATTGCTTTTATGGTTGTTTCAGCATCTCTTGGTAATTTAGTCTTTATATCTGTAGATCGTTACATTGCTGTGAGTGACCCTTTGAGATACACAGTGAGGGTCACGACCGATAAAGTTGTTTTTTGCATTATTATAAACTGGCTCTGTTCTAGCATATATTCTTTCATTATCTTATACAATTCAATGTTCTACCCAGAGACACAAGACAGGTGTTATGGAGACTGTTCAGTTTCTTTCAAATTTGAACATGTTGTCACAGACCTCATAGTCACTTTCGTTGCCCCTTCTTCTATAATCATGTCTATATATGTGAAAATCTTCTGTGTTGCAAAATACCAAGCCAAGGTTGTAAATTCTGTCACAGGTGTCAGCAGATCACAAAGAAAGGCAGCAAAAACTTTGGGTATTGTGGTAATGGTTTACTTTATGTGTTGGATACCTTACTATATAGTGACTCTTATTGAAGGAAATGAGTCAACTGTTGAATTTAATGTAACATGCTGGATTTTGTACATGAATTCCTGTATGAATCCACTTATCTATGCACTGTTTTATAAATGGTTTAGAAAATCAGCTAAACACATAATGACTCTAAAAATATTTAAGCCATCATCAGAATACTTCAGTCTTTTCCCGGAGGATACGTAAATGATCAGTTTCTAATTTTTAAAAGTTGTGTTTCTTTCTACAGTGATTTTATTTATTTATTTATTTTTATTGAAGAATGCTGGAACATACAAATAATAACAAAACAAATTATAAACACACACACACACACACATATATATATATCAAAAACAAACACAAACAAAAAAACAGAGCATAGCACACATTTAGATTTTACATATAATGATATTACAAAGTGCTAAGGGGGGATGGAAGATATCATAGTATTTAAACATTTCACATACTTTTTATTATTTAACAGTCTTATTGAAGAAATATAACAGTCAAGATCAGACAAAAACACTTTTAACACAGGAGATGAATTTTGTTTATGTATGTGAAATTTTGCTAATAAAATAAAAAGGTTAACAATACATTCTAGATCTTTATTGCTTTTGTTTTCATAACACAAAATAACATCCTTTAAAGTAAAGCAGTAATTAATATTCACTAAATTAAATATATAATTTGCCAGATCAATCCAAAACCTGTTTACGACTTTACAGTCAAAAAATAAATGAGTCAGCATCTCTTTCTCACTATTACAAAAGCAACATACATCATCAATATCATTGTATCTTGATGTTAGAGATTTAGATGGGTAAATGGTATGTAGAATTTTGAAGTGTATTTCTTTTCTTTTATTATTAATACAATATTTAAAAGGAATTAATCAAGCTCTTCTCCAGTCAATATTCTCAATTATAGAGTTCCAAAAAAAATTCCCTCTAGGAGATATTTTATTTTGGGAAAATATTACCAATATGTTTGTTATTACATTTTTCCTCAGTTAACACCTTCTAAAGTTCATTTTAGGTTTGTCACAGATAGAGAAATATAAGTAAAAGTTGACTTTTGACAAGCTGAAGTATTGTTACAGGAATAGCTTTAATAACTTAATGGAATCTTTCTACAGTGATTACTTTGTATTTGAGGATGTTGCACATCAGCAAGTAAAAGGGTGGTAAATGTGTAATGGCAGGTTCAGAGAGGAGGAAATCTGAGAGCAAATCAGCTCTGACATTAAGATTCATTGTGACCGTTCTGCTTTGCTGGATTCTTGTCTTTAAAATAAAAAAAGTAATATCCCCCACCATATCACAAATTCTAACATGGACCTTGTATGCTGACCTGAATGCTATGTCTGATTCCTCTTTGCTTTATTTTACCAGTTATAAAATATAATTGAAACACATCATAACTTCTTAGAATATTTAAATCAGTATGCTTACTGATTTTTATAGACTTTTTAGAATGTTTGTGAGGAGTTGATTTATTTTTCAAACTGATGTAGTATTGACACAGTGTTGTATTACACAATCCAAAGCTGACATGTCTGTAGTGTTCATGTTGCTGCAACAAAGGCTCCAAAGATGATGGGATAAAGATTTCCATTTCAAAACAAGTTAAAATTATTTAATGATACTAGAGTTATCATCACACCCATGTTTTCACAAACAATTTTTTAATATATATTTTGTCTAACAGTATTTTAGAAAGCTACAAAACTATTTTAATGAAGATTTAGTAAGATGTTGTCACCATAAACATGAAACAAACAAATGACATGATTATTATAACTGAGTTAATAAAAAGTAGTCACTTATCATTGTGTCACAAGTTAACCCAGTACTGTTATGAAAACTGATTCTATCAAAAAACTTTGAAAATCTTTTTTTGAATTATGTGTATTTAAAGACTTTCATAAAGATATGAACACTACTGGAGCATTTGCACTCCATCAGCAATAAAGAGCTTCACCTAAAAGACTGGATTGTCTGGATTGTATAGCCCTATTAGCTCCTGCTGTTATAATTGCACCATTTGGAAGCAAACAGCTTCTTTTTCCATTGATGGGCAGTTATTAGTAGCTATGCATTTTGGTAAAAAAAAATAAAATAAAAAAATAAAATATATATATATATTGTAATGACCCGGCAGTGAGCGCTAGCAGCCAGGTGCATTATGGGTATTCGTTTAGAGTGGAATTACGTGTTAGTTAAGCAAGATGGTTGGGTTTTTGTGTTAGAAATGTTATGTGTGTTTATGTTTAAGTTAGTTCGGGTGGGTTTGGTTCATTTACTGCCTTGTTATAAAAAGTGTGGATGTTACCGTCATGGAGAGAGATGTGTCGGGGAAGGACTTGGCGATATGCCTTACTTGTGTGGATCTTATTCTGTGCTAGGAATAAAAGGTGAAAAGATGACAGCATGTTTCTCAAGTGCATTCTCTCATCCCCGCTGCGCGTGAATATGATGTAGGCTATCACAACAACACTACAGAGACCTGAGGAAAAGTGGGGATTAAAGTCCAAAAACTGATTTGAAATAACCTAACAAATCAATCGGGGCTAAAGCAGTTCCATAAATTACAATGTAAGTTCAGTTCACACAATCTAACTAATTTGTGGATGCTTAATCTTAAGCAGCCCTTAATGTCGATCATGGATCAAATCGATCCACCATGGCAAACAGCAAATATATTTGTGCTGTTTAATGCATTTGAGATGTTGTGTTTTTCTCAGTGCATAACTGACATGTCATGAGTATATTTTTCCTCTATAAATGTTAGAAAGTCATGCAAATATATCCATTTTGCTTGCTGTCAGGAGTGGGTGAGGCATACGCGAGTGAACGAGGGCTGCTGCGCACATGCACGCTCAACAGACGGAGCACAATCAAATATGCATTTTGCTAAAATATTCGTTGTTGGACATTAAATGTGCCTTTTGTAGAATTTTAAACCTACATATTGGTGTATTATTATGATAGCAGTAACAGTAAAGGGACTACTGTAATGGGTAAATAAAATGTAAGCTAATGCAGTCCTAATTACTAAGCTTACTACTTAATTACTACTTAATGTGTGTTTCTTATAGCAGTTAAAATGTAGTTTTAATTTAGAGATTTTAACTTTTCGTTTAGTGATTTTAATGATTTAAAGAGCAATGTTATATTGTAAAGTTATAATTCTATCTGTTCTAACTATAAAAGGTACAGCTGTCATAAAACCAGAGAAAAAGGCTGCATGGCTATGATAGTATGTGAGAGAGTCAGTGGTAATATCATTGCATTCCTATTGTTCGGTGTTAGAGGAGCTCAGCTTAGTCTGACAGTTTTGCCTGGCCTGGACCAGGTTAGCTTTCCAGCATAAGTTGCCACAGTGACTGATTTTGATCTTTGTTAAATTTGTTTTATGGAACCAAATCATTTGACAGTGAGTCATGCTAACTGAAATAAGGCTGGCCTATTCGGTAAACTTGTTTTATGAAACAGGCCTCGAGGTGTTAGAAGTCAGAAGACACATAAGTTAATTTATGATTTGCTGTCTGTCTGAACCAAAGAAATAAATGCGATCGTATTGTAATGACCCGGCAGTGAGCGCTAGCAGCCAGGTGCATTATGGGTATTCGTTTAGAGTGGAATTACGTGTTAGTTAAGCAAGATGGTTGGGTTTTTGTGTTAGAAATGTTATGTGTGTTTATGTTTAAGTTCGTTCGGGTGGGTTTGGTTCATTTACTGCCTTGTTATTAAAAGTGTGGATGTTACCGTCATGGAGAGAGATGTGTCGGGGAAGGACTTGGCGATATGGCCTTGCTTGTGTAGATCTTATTCTGTGCTTGGAATAAAAGGAGAAAAGATGACAGTACTGCCTCCTGCTGGTTTGTTCTGATTGTGCTTCCAGAGACACTCATGGTCGTGCGGTGTATGGGACGCGAGTGTTCGCACTTTCCACTAACCATAGAAAAGTCTCGCGTATTAATGCTAGCAGCTTGTTAGCAATTATCTTAGCAAAAGTCTAATAGCCTAGCTTAGCTCTGGTCAGCCCCACGTTCAATAGAACAACGGTGCGTTGTTACATTGGTGTCAGAAGTGGGATTTCTGAGATTTAGGCCGTTTCGAAGACGCCATTATGGAGCAAAGTATAGGCGAATTAGAGCGTGCTATCCGAGAGAACAGCATCATGCTAGAGCGTCTGACGAGCGAGACGACGCAGAGGAACAGGGCTCCGCACCGGCCCGATGGCGCCAGCGTTCCTCGGACAGTGTACCGCCCTCCTGGTCGCATGCAGAATGAACCTCCGGCCATCACACCGACACTCCAAATCAATGGCCGGCCAGGCCTCCTCACACGATCACCGGCTAAGCTGCCTCGATACAGCGGGACGACGCCCTTGGAGCCCTACCTGGCGCAGGTCGACCTGGCCGCTCTACACGATGGATGGAGCCGCGAGGAGACCGCGACTCACTTGGCCCTCGCCTTGGAGGGTCCTGCGCTTCAGGTCCTCATCGATCTGTCCCCTGAAGAGCGGTGTGATCCCCAAGCCCTCGCTGCCGCTCTCAACCGCCGCTTCGGACAGAGAACTTCCGCAGAGCAGGGAGGATCTGACTAACCGACATCGACGTGAAGGAGAGAGTGTGGGCGCATTCGCCGCTGACATCCGGGTCTACGCCCGGAAGGGCTACCCTACCTTCCCGGCCACAGCGAGGGAAGAGCTGAGCCTCCATGCTTTCCTGCGGGGCCTTACACCTGAGCGGCTCCGCCAGCATGTCCGCCTGTTGTCACCCCGAGATCTGAGTGAGGCGTTGAGAGAAGCTGAGCGAGCTGAGGAGGGCTGGGCCGCTGGGCCGGCGACAGGTCGATCTCCACTCCAGCGCCAGCTGACAAGAGCAGCCGAACGAGAGGTGGACGCCTGAGGAGGGAGAGTGTGGGCGCATTCGCCGCTGACATCCGGGTCTATGCCCGGAAGGGCTACCCTAACTTCCCGGCCACAGCGAGGGAAGAGCTGAGCCTCCATGCTTTCCTGCGGGGCCTTACACCTGAGCGGCTGTTTCCGCTGCGGAGAACCGGGGCACTTCGCCAGGGACTGCCCTGCCCCGAGCCCCCGGCCCCGGGGAATGTCACCCCCGGGAAACGAACTTGGAGTGAGGCAGTGAGGGGACCCTCACTCCCATCTTCGGCACCCCTCCACAACGACTGCCCTACTGTGGGGCGCTGCGGGCTTGCCAGGGGACTGTACCTGGACTGTGTTATTGACGGGCAGCCCTGCAGCGCCCTGGTGGATACGGGGTCCACCATTTGCTTGCTACGAAGAGGACTGTTGTCAGGGACGGCCGGTCCTCTTCTGGAGAACTGGACCCCTACCAATACCGAACTGCTCACCGTCACGGGTGAAACATTGTCGCCGTGGACTGGTTGGCCCCCGGGGGAGCCCGTGTCGAGGGGCCGGGGGCCGCCCTCTGCCTCGGTAACGAGACTGTGCCGCTCCGGTTGGGCCGGAGCCGTCATGGAGAGGCCACCGCCACGCAGCCGCCGCCTAGACATCAGTGCCCACCGGCTCCAGCCCCCAGCCACCGTCGCCAGGAAGAACGAGGTCTGGGGCCATCGTCGGCTGCAGCAGGGTTGGGTGACAGCGGTGGAGATGGGGAACCATTCACCATCAAGCAGCTGAGGCAACAGCAGGGGAATGATCAAGTATTGGTAAAGGTGAGGGACTGGTTGGAGGCCCGAACACGGCCGGACTGGCCAGCTGTGTTCTCCCAGGGGCCCCAGCTCGAGTTGGTTTTTTC